GCTCAATGGATAAAGTGTTGGCCTGCAGACAGAAGAGTCCTGAGTTCAATTCCTACCCAGGGCACCTACCTCAGTAGCAGGCTCCATCCCCGGCCCTGGTCAGGGCACATGTGGGAAGCAACCAATCAATGGGTCTCTCTCACATTGATGTTTCCCTCTCTGTCTCTCCCCGTCCCTTCCACTCTCTCTAAAAATCAATAAGTAAAACAATATCCTCTGGTGAAGATTAATGAAAAACAATGTCCTGCCCCTCCCCCTTTACTGCTTGAGTCTTGTAAATCAGAGCTAAGACCAGAGGGAGTTGGTAGAGTGGGTAAAGACGGAGCTCTGGAGCTGGATCCTGTGGGCTTGCATCCCAACTCCACTTCTCACTACTATATAATATAACCTCTGTGTGCCTCAGTTCTCTCCTTCATAAAATGGGGGTGATGATAGTTGCTACCAAATATGGTTGCTAGAAGGATTCCGCATCTACATATATGTACTTTGATAATTTTAACTGAAATGTGATATAGCTCATAATACGTAAGTTCTATTTAGAACAGTGGCTAGCACCTCATAAGTACATCAGTTAAATATGCCTTTTTCATAGGATTGTTGGGAGGATTTAAAGAAACAGCACCTGAAAAATAGCACCTTGTTCATGTTTAATGAATACTCTCTCCTTGTGATTAATACGTTTTCAAAATCAAAATCCTCCATCTTTCAGCCATTTATCTTACACTGTGTTCCCTGAAGCCTTGCACTCCCCCATGTTTGGACCCCAAGGACGGTCCTCCCTGTACTGGCTGTGGGTTTGCCCAGGTGAAGGCAGCACGTTATGCTTTCCAAAGTGCTTTCTTTTTTTTTTCTTTTTAAAAAAAATATATTTTATTGATTTTTTTACGGAGAGGAAGGGAGAGAGATAGAGAGTTAGAAACGTTGATGAGAGAGAAACATCGATCAACTGCCTCTGGACACCCCCCACCAGGGATGTAACCGCAACCAAGGTACATGCCCTTGACTGGATTCGAACCTGTGACCCCTCAGTCCACAGGCCAATGCTCTATCCACTGAGCCAAACTGGTTTTGGCCCAAAGCATTTTCTTATTCGGAGCCATGGATGCTAATAACAGAGGGACTCATGGCGGAAGTGGGGTCACTGTGAGACCTTGGCCAGGCCCCTGCACTTCTCTGGGCCAATGTGCTCATCTGTAAAGGAGAATAATATCCCTGCCCTTTGACCTGTTGACACAAGAATGTCCAGCCTTAAGAAAAAATCTTATAAAAGTTTAAACCAAGCTGAGAAAGATTGCAGAGAAGCAAAATCTCAGCGGGTTGAGAAAATGTTCCAGAGAAAGTCAGCTTGACAACTACAGACAAATCTCATTTCTCAGATGTCTCCCATCTGGAACAATTCGGTTCTCCACCAAATAGTTCACAGAAAAAAAAAAAAAAAAAAAAAAGGCTCAGTTGTTAAACCAAACTTCGGTTTTTGAACTGACAATCCTTTCAAGCTGATACCTCAGCTTGACAAAAAGCCTTTCTCAGGCAACAAAGGAGAGAATGTTTTTGTCGCTAACAAAATTAATAATTAGCACAACTTTAAAATTTAAAAAAAAAAAAAAAAGCCATCTAGAGTGCTAATGTTGCTAAGAGTGTGAAAGAAACAATGATCACAGACAATGGAAGAGGTAGAAAAACTGTTGTTGGTTTGGAAAAGCAGCCAGCCAGTGACAGCCATTTTTGGAGGCGGTGACATATGAACAAGCAAAGGTGCTGCAAGCTGACCTGAAAGACATCTCTGGACCAAATGCTTAGTGACTTTGTTTAAGGCTGGTAGGGGGTGGTTGGATAAATTTAAGGAAAGAAGGGTTTATTTACAGATTAAACAGTACTGAGATGTGTACTGTATATAAGAAAGGATAAAACGGGGAATTATTTGGAGGTCTGGAACAGACTAATTCCATTTACATTATTTCTAACGGGGGAAAAATGATTCGGTTTTTGGAATAAGTTGAGTTTGAGAACCGAGGTTCCACCGTATTTTATACATTATAATCAAAAGAGGAGCCTTAAGGAGGGCATGAAATTCATTGGTGATAGATTAGGGAGGCAGGAGAAAGCAAAGCCCGTGAGCGGGGGAAGGGGGGTGTCTCTGGGACTGGATAAAGAGTGAAAGGGAGAAATACACCCTCCTATTACATTGGCAGCGATGGGTACAGGATAGTTAGCATTTACAGCACATAGAGATGGTTGCGCCCTGAGGGGTTGTGAAAAGGAGATTACTTTGACATTTCAAAAGAATGTTACCTTAGATACAAAAAGACAGAGACAGGCCCCCTGAGGTAAAGCTTGACCTTAGTCATGGAAGCTGCATGCCTGGGACGTGACTGCCCCTTGACCCACTTTCAGTCAGGAATTTTTATGTTCATTCCACTCCGTGTGGTGACTTTCGGTCTCTGAGTTTGCAAAGGGCTGCCACGCTGGCCTCCTCTGAGTTCTTGGGTTTCGTCTGAGGACCTTTCTGGTCTACAGGCCTCACAAAGCTGCTGTGAGCAGGAAGCGGGAGGAGACAAGGTGTGCGGTGGGATAGTATCATCAGGTAGCCAACCCTAAAGGGCCTGGGGAGGCCAGGGCAGGGCCAGCCGGTGAGGAAGGCTTCCCAGAAGGGAGTTTCGCTCGGGGCAGTGTGTCCCTGAGACCAGTGCCTTCCCTGCAATCAGTCATCAACCTGGCCCTGGCAGGGAGAAGGAGGCCCAGCAGGCTGAATGCCGCGGAGAGGCCAAATTTGGACTCGGGCTAAGAGGTTGGCCAGTGCAGGAGGTGGAATGTGGCCAGGGCTGTGGGAGGGAGGGATTGCATTCCCGGCGACTGCCTGACAGTGACTGTGATGACTTCCGCTGGGGGTTCCAGCCAGCCCCTCCACAGGCTGAGGGTGCTCACAGTCAGCACAGAGAGACCTGCTCTTCCTCCCCGGACCCCACCTCCAGGAGCCAAGCAGCAAAAAACAGGCAGGACCACAGACTGACATCAGGCAGATGGGGGGAGGGCTCAGTCAGAGACAAGGATGTGGATGGAGGATGGGAAAGACTGTTCCATAGACAGCCCTGGAGGCTGAAATAATGACCAGAGAGGAGCCGCACCAGCAATACTTCCCGTGGGTGAAGCACGTCTGGGTTAGAGAGCGCTTCCCCATTCATTATTCACTGGTTCCTTTCTCCTGTGAGGGTCCTGAGCCTGCCTGGGTCAGGGGAGCAGGGGGATCATAAAGTGTGAGGCAGTGTGTGTGTGTGTGTAGGGGGGATACTGGGAGGTGGGGGTGTGTGTGGTCAGGGAAGTGGAGGAAAATCTGGACCCCAGAGGAGACAAGGCCCCTAAGATCAGAGGCAGAGGCTCAAAGTGGGCCCCCTCAGGGCTCATCTGTGCATTGGGCCGACCTCACAGAGCTGCTCAGCCCGCAGGTGAGAGATGGGGGGGGGGTGAGCGGGGGGTGGGGGGGGGGAAGAAGTGCTGGAGGGAGAGGCAGCTGCTTCCTGCACAGGGCGCCTGTCCTCCCTCCACAGCCTGGGAATCTCCTCCCCCCATCCCCCACCCTCCCTTCAGCCACGGGGATATTTTCAGTATAAATAGTGTTTCCTGGAGCCCAGGGCCCTCAGCCCAGGCTGCAAGCAGGTGAGGAAACAGGAAGTGCGGAGGACCCCCTTCCTGCCCTTGCCCTCCTCCTGGAAACACCTCCTAAAGCTCCTTTCCAGAGGCCACTGTGGGAAACTGTGAACAGGTCCAAGGGGCAAGTTAGGAAAAACACGCAGCTGGAGTGTCCCCTCCAAACACAGCTGGAGAGTCACCTCTAATCCCCCCTCTGTCCTGCCTCCTGGTCCAGGCTGCTTTCCTGGCGCAGGCCCAGGCACGCAAGTGTGTGGTGTGTGTGTGTGTGTGTGTGTGTGTGTGTGTGTGTGTGCATGTCATTGTGAACACGTGCCTGTGTCCTCTTAGTGTCTCTGCTCCTTGGAACACCGCAGGTGTCACATGCACTCGCAGATGTGCAGGTGTGTGGGAGCAGGTGTGCACACGGGCATCTGGGAGCAGATGAAGCTGAAAGGGGGGGTTCCGCTGGATGACCAGGGACCCGATACTCTGGGTTCCAGCTGCCTGGGATGCAGCCGCTTCTCCAGGGAGAAGGGGATGGCTGCCATGGAGGCTGAGAGGATGCACAGGGTGGGTGGAGAGGAGTGTGAGAGCTTCCCCCACAGCATGGCTCCAAACCCACAGAGCCCGCTGTGTAGCTCAGCTCTGGCTTGGCCCGGAGAGGGTGGAGGGGAAGCTAATCGGGCCCAGCCTTCACCTCCTGAAGGAAAGTCCTCAGACCCTTGTGGAGATCACCCTGTGGGAGATCCCAATCTGACAGGGGAGCAGGCTCCCAGCTCACAAGCTTCCCCCCCATCCCGCCCCACCCCCGCTGATGGAGATACCACCCCCACCCCCACCCCCCACCCACGTATCACCCCCACACGCTCCAGTCTTGGGGCAGAGGAAGGAAGTCCTTTGAGGCTGGTGCTGGTGACAGTTGTTCCTGCCGCTAAATGTTCCCCATCCAGTGCCCAAAGCCAAGGTAGTGACCCCTGGCCTGGTGGGCGGTGCCTCTGGCCCTAGTAGCTGCCGGCCTGCCCTCCTAGCCTGGGACTGAGACCAAAGGCCTAGGCCTGGGCCCCGGGGGAGAGCTGGGCTATAAATAAGCCTGGGACCCGGCCTGCAGGGGAGAGTTGGGGAGCCCACAGCCCAGAAAGACCTGTGCTAAGAGGTGCCGCCTGTGGAAAGAGATCCTGACCCCGCCTGCCAGGCCCACCTTCGCCCTGACCTGGGCTCAGCTGCCGGCCCGAGAAGCGCAGCTCCCTCCCCGCCTGGCTTTCTTTGAGGCCCCACAGCCAGCCTGGCCGGGGCGGTGAGTTTTGTCCGCAATGGGGAGGCCTCGGGGTCCCCTTCCCGACCCCTCACCTCACCTCCAGGCCGGCCCCTCCTACCTGCAAACACCGCGGAGCAGTAGGCATCGCTGATGTCGGAGTCCGGGGTTTGCACGTTCTCGGCGTAGAGGATGAAGACCCGCAGCATGGCTGGCACGCGTTAGGGCGCTGCCCCAGGGCGCGGAGGGCCGGGGAAGGGCGCGAGAGCCGCTCAGGGTCCCTCTCTGGAGCCCGCGCTCAGATCTGTCCTCGGCGGAACGGCCGGCCGGCGGCTCACCAGCGGCCTCCGTCTCCGCTCCGCGCGCTCACAGGGGAGCCCGGGGCTTCAGCTCTTCCTCCACCTTCGCCGCCTCCGGGCTCGGCCGGGCGGTGAGTCAGTGCGGCGGCCGCAGACCCCGCCGATGACACGGCATTCTGCACCTGGCGGCGCGCACGGCGGGGCGGCGGCCGCGGGCCGGGCTGGACCAGCGCTCCCGGCGGCGCAGGGAGCGGCCAGAGCTCCCTGCGGGGCAGCCGGGCGCGCCCCGCCCCTGGCCCTCCTCCGCCTCGCAGGGAGCGCAGCTCTCCCTCCTCCGGGCCGGGGAGCCAGCACTCCCCCGCGGAGCCGCGGACCGGGGCGCCCGGTGGCAGCGGGATCGGGGCCTGGCTGCGGAGCTGGCACTGGGAGCCTCTGGCTGAGGAATTCCATTGACAAGAAGCATCGGCCGCCTTTAAAACTTCGCTCCCTCTTTTCTGGTTGCAAAAGCAACACATGCTATTTCTCTCTCTCTCTCTCTCTCTCTCTCTCTCTCTCTCTCTCTCTCTCACACACACACACACACACACACACACACACACACACACGAAAGAAATCTCTGAGTCTAGGGGAAAAAAAGCATAATAGCATCAACATTTTGATATTTATCAATCAAGGTGTTGTTTTTTATTTCCTGTGGCTGTATGTATAGATGCGTGGAAGTTACATTATTTATTATATATCTGAGATCTTGTCCTGCTACTTCATGCAATATTTTTTTTACATCATAAAAAATCCTTCATTAACAACTTTCTCAAGAGCTACCTGATTTTCTATTGTAGGAATGTGCTAGATTCGCAAAGCTTTCTCCTGTTGTTACACATTTAGGCTCTTCCCCGTTTCTCACTAAGTAAATTTTATAGGACAGATAAGAAAAACTTTATATTACTTGGATTAAAAGAGAAAAAAAACTAAGATCTCAGTCCCCCTCTGCTAGTTCCTCAGATTGGATTCCTCGCTCTGGACAAGGACATGCCTTTTTTTTTTTGGGTCCCGGTACCTATTGCTACAATGCTTTCCGGGAGCCGTGTAGGTCCGCGAGCTCAGCAGTTGGGTGACTCACCTTCTAAAGAGAGCTACATGGGTGCCTGCGCAGCTGTCAGCAAAACCTCTCCGTCCGCCCGCACAGGCGCCCGGGGCTGGAAGGGTCAGCGGCTGACCGCGCTGGCTTGGCTCCATAAGGAGGCACTAGGAGAGGGAAACATTTCCCCAAGGTCTGTAATTTTTTTTTTTTTTTAAATCATCACCTGAGAATTTCTGTTGCTTTTTAGAGAATGGAAGGGAGGGGGAGATACAGAGAGAGAAACATCGATGTGAGAGAGACATATTGATTGGTTGCCTCCCTCACGTGCCCAGAGCAGCAGGGCCAGGATCAAGCCTGCAACCAAGGTAGGAGGTACGTGCCTTTGAGCGGAATCAAACCTGGGACCCTTCCCTCCATGGGCCCACGCTCTATCCACTGAGCCAAGCCAGCGAGGGTGAGTTTTTAATTTAAAATCAGGATAGCAGACATTGCTTGTGGTCTGTGCTTTTGTTGCAATCTGCCTCCTCTTTTATGTGTCTCTAGCACAATATGGGATAAGGGAGAGGGAAAGGGGGGGGGGGTGAATGTAATCATTCATTTCACATGTGTGTATCAAGCCCTACAACATGCCAACCACCATGCTAGGGGATGGAGACTCAATGGTGAGGGCAAGTAACATGGTCACTGTTATGGACTGAATTGTGTCTCCCTGAAATCCAGATGTTGAAGCCCTTAACCCCAGTTAGGAATGTGATTATATTTGAAGATACAGCCTTTAAATGGTGATTATGTCATTGAAACAAGGCTGTTCAAGTGGGTTCTAATTCAGTCTGGTGGGTGTTCTTATAAGAAGAGGAGATTTGGACACACAAAGAGACACCAGGGATGTGCTCACACAGAGGAAAGACCATGTGGGCACAGTAAAGCTGTTACAGAGAATCGGAATAATCAAACAATGCCAGAGAGTTTGGAGTTACACCTTATTCACCGGTGGGCTTAGAGAAAATGAATACAAGTTCTAAGCAAGGTTACAAGCAGAACTTCCCATTTTATTAAAGAGCCAGCCCTTGCCCTAACCGGTTTGGCTCAGTGGATAGAGCATCGGCCTGCAGACTCAAGGATCCCAGATTCAATTCTAGTCAAGGGCATGTACCTTGGTTGTGGGCACATACCCAGTGGGAGGTATGCAGGAGGCAGCTGATCGATGTTTCTAACTCTCTATTCCTCTCTTTTCTTCTCTGTAAAAAATCAATAAAATATATTTAAAAAAAAAAAAAAAGAGTTTAGCCCTATTGTGCTTAGTAGTTATCTTGCTGTTGGCCTTGAAAGCAACACAGTTCTATCCAATTAAAAAATGCACCAGGCATGACATTGAAATTATGGGCATGTCTAATCTCTGGCCTACAAGGTCAGACAGCTAAATTTATCTTCCTCATTATTCAAGCAGGTTAAAGCAGGTTAGAAAGCAAAGTTATTTTTTAGAATAAGAGGCCATCTAAAAAATAGCAGAGAATTCCAAACAGTAGTTTTACAAAATAGGGGTTAGTCTTCTCAAGCCACAAGCTTCAGAAGAAACCGAACCCACCCACCAAGTTGATCTTGAATTTCTAGCCTCCAGGCAGTGAGACAATACATTGGGATTGCTTAAGTCACCCAGTTGTGAGCTTTTGTTGTGGCAGTTTGAGAAAACTAATATAGCCCCTGACTTCAAGAAGTTTCCACTTCAGTAGAGGAACCTGATATTTATGAAATAACCAAGACAGTCACAGACCATTACAAACCTGTGTGTGTAATAAAAGACAGAAAAGGGCTGGGTGTGAGAGCAGATAGCAGGGACCCGGGGACAGTGACAGCTGTTTGAGATGAGCTCAGAAGGCCAATTTGGTGTTCATTGGACAAGACTGGGGTTGGGTCAGGGAGGACAAGTGTGTTCTAAAGAGAAGGAAGGGAGCGCTCTGGGTCAAGGCCCTGGGAAGAGTGAGGAGAGAACATCGTGACTACAGTGCAGATTGGGAGGTTGGAGGGGTGGAGGAGGTGAGGCTGAAGAGCAGCGATGTTCAACCCTTTTCATATCAGGGCACACAAATTAATCACTAACATTCTGTGGCACAACAAAAAATACATTTTTGGCCAATCTGACAAAAAATAGGAACAAGTTTGATGCATTCACACCAGACAGCTATTGTTAATGTTGGCTGTCTTCTCCTCCTCCTCCTCCTCCTCCTCCTCCTCCTTCTTTTTTTACAATCTAAGGAAAAAGAGGTCAATGTCCCCTAACTAAGTTGTCAGGTATTGTGGGTTTTTAAAATTCTTGTGACACTCTGATTGAAAATCACTGCTGTAGAAAACCAGCAGGGCCAATGGGAAGCTACCCAAGGCCTGATAAGTCCATAGGAATAATAAGAACCAACTTACTTTTCAAAAGCTTCCTCTGGCTGCTTTTTCAGAGAATGAAGTGCAAGAGGCCAGGGTAGAGGTGAAGAGACAGTTAGAAGCTATAGCAGAGGGTCAAGGCGAGACGTGATGATGACTTGCCCTGCGATGGGCAAAGTGGGGATGGAGCTAATAGAGCTGGAGGAGTAAGAGGGGCATTCTGCAGACCAGGTCGGGTGAATCAAATACCTTGCTACCTCGCTTGGCCATTGCTAATATGTATCGCTGGATAAAGTGATTGACTAATTGATTCATTCACTCACTCATTTCACCAAGAGTTACAGGGTGCTTTGTATGTGGCAGGAGTTTGTCAGATTCAAGTTTTAGAGAAGGTACCAAGTAAGGAGTCAAATTTAATTTCATTGGGAAGAAGGGTAAGGTCCTGTTGATCTAGGGAAAGCCCTAATTACAGTCTATTTTTTTTTTAAAAAATACATTTTTATTGATTTCAGAGAGGAAAGAAGAGGAAGAGAAAGAGAGATACAAACAGCCCTGATGAGCGAGAATCATTGATCGCTGCCTCCTGCATGCCCCTTCTGGGGATTAGCCCCAACCTGGGTATGTGCTGACCTGGAATCTAACAATGACTCTTGTTTCATAAGTCAGTGCTCAACCACTGAGCCACATCATTCGGGCTGGTCTATTTTTAAAGTACAGTTTGACTCTATTCAGATGCATAAAGTAATATGAACCTGCTCTAAGGCAGAGCTAAAATTGGATCTAAGAAGCACCTCGCTGCTTGCAAATATGGTGTGACTAACATGGTTTGAGAAGAACCAGTCTTTTTTTTTATAAGTTAACGATTCCCCTCGCAACTTCTCTGCATCACTTATTCACAGGGTAGGTTCTCTTCAAGTTCTTCATGCACAGAGCCCCATCTGTTCAGAAATGAGCGCCGGTGAGAAGGCACCTGATTTCATGCCTCTGTATGTAGGATGTGTTTGGGGTGTCTTCTCTACTTAAAAGAACCACTTGCTCTGAAACCACCCCCTGGCAAGAGGAAAAGACATCTGATTCAAGCTGAACCGATCTGACGATCTCTCCCAGGAATCTGGAATTGAGACTGTGAGCTGCAAGCCTATGTTTGGCTGGAGCTGGGATGAATAAAACTGGGGCTCAGAGGAGCTGCGTGCATGAAATGGAGAACGTTCTGCAGTCAGAGAAAAGGAGATCATAAACAGCAGATGTGGGTGGAAGGAACAGAGAAAGGTTGTTCCTGGATCGCATTCCTCATGAGTCTGCCTATGGATTCTGAGGGATGGCCTTGGAGGGGGTGGTCACTTGGGCTCTCAGCTTCCTACCTCTCCTTCACAAAACACCTTCTCCACACTCCTCGTGAGCAGTTTTGGGGAGCAGAGGTGCCTGCTTCTCTCTATGGAAGTTTCAGAGAGCCAGG